AATATTAATTAATCAAATTTTAATATATATATATATATATAAGTGGCGCTTCTATTACTTGGAAACACCACTTCTCTCATTTTAAGTAATTTTTTATATTTAATATGCGGTAGACATTATTATATATATATATATATATATATTTAAAAAATAATATAATTTATAAAGAGATTAGTCTATAAGGGAGAGGTGCTGTTTCCATCACCTAAAAGTGCCAATTTAAATAATTATTTTATATTTAATAAATAAAATTTAATAACTACATATTTAAAAATAATATTAATTTAATAAAAATTTAATATATATGAGAGAGGTGGCAATTCTATTACCTAAAAATACCACCTCTTACTATAAAAAAAATATGAATTTTGGTAATGACAAAAGTTCAAAAGTCTAGTGACTTTTGACCCTCAAAGGATCGCCATTAAAAGTCTTGTCCCTAATAGTTTTTTATGGCAACAAATACAGTCACTGCCAAAAGTATACATTTAACGGCGACAAGTTTTTTGCTACCAAAAGTTTACCCTTGGCCACTAAAGGTATATTTTTGGTGACAACTATATTTGTCACCATAAAAAACTATTAGCGACAAGACTTTTGATAGTGACCCTTTGGCGGCAAAAAGTCACTGCCAAAAGTCAACTTTTTTTCAAAAAAAAAAGCCATCTCATATCACGTCAGTGCCTCCTTATGCCACATCATATAACACCTTATGTCACATCACTTGTCACATATGCACCTCCTCGTGCCACGACACATGCCACATCACCCCACCATGTGTGCACCATGTTATGCCAAGTTACTTGACAACTTGTGCCACATCATGTCACATCGCTACCACATGCCATGTCACATATTCATTGTGAAATATATCCAAGTCAGGATTTAAGCCCTTGACCTCCACTTCCTAAGTCTTAAGTCCCCTTTTGTTGCCAATTTAGCTAAAATGCACCTGCAATTATTATATCTGAAATTAAATATATATTATTTAACTACATACACATATATCAAATAATATATTATTAAAAATATATACATATATATTTTATTTTATATTCATTTATTAATATGTTAAAATAATTTCTCTGAGTGTATATATATTATATTTTTTACTAAAATATTATTTTTGTTAGGAAAATGAACTTAAAATGAAATAATTTTTAAATATTAAATAATTTTCTTATAAACATTTTTAACATTTTTAATTTTTATTTTTATTTTTTAAATGAAAATAATTAAGTGTATAATTTATTTATAAGTATGTATTACATTAGTTTAAGTTAAACATCTTTTACTTTTTTCCATATTTTTTTAAAAAAATTAATAAATAAATTATTAAACTGTTATCTTCTCCCAAGTTAAATGCTTCTCTATCTTTTATTAAAAATAAATTTTATCTATAATTTTCAATTATCTTAAAAATATTTTAATAAAAAATTTATCTTAATCATATAAATTTTGTTAATAGTCATTTTGGATAATTATTCTTTATTATCTTTGAGATAGAAAATGGGTGAACATGTGATAAACTCAAAGTAGATGCTAAACACAAAAAACTCCAAGTTAAAAATTTAAGTGGATATTTCATAATCAAAATAGAAGGAATATTGTCTTGACTCGATCTAAATTAGTTTAGACTTCCATTAAAATCTCTTTATTAGAGTCAATCTTAAGTTAATAGGAAATACTTCCCAATAATTTTACAATTTAAAATAAACAAATTTTAATAGATTTATACATAATTTCATTCATAATTCAAAAAATTGTCAAGTAGTCTCTACCTATTTTATTTGTTGCTTGTTTTAAATAACCATCAAATATGGAGCATCTTATTTAAATAATCTTGTGGTAGTGAAAAGTAAACCTCAGCAAATAAAGTAGACACCATCTGTATACCAAGTCAAGTATCAAGTGCGCAATGTGTCAAGTGGTCTGTAATGCCATTTGTATCTTACAACATTAATATAACTTTAAAATTCTAATATTTATGTATAACTTTAACATTCCAATATTATTTATTTCTCATTCTACATATAAATACCTTTAGTGGCAACAAATTTTGCTATTAAAAGTTTTTATAAAATATTTTTTAGTTTTTTAATTTTTTTATGAAAATACTTTTGACAGTGACAAACTGTGGCTGCTAAAAGTAATTACAAAGATTATTTTTGAAAATTTTTAATTATTTTTTAATGAACACACTTTTGGCGGTGACTGTTTGTCGCCACTAAAAGTAATTACATAAATTATTTTTTAATTTTTTTAATTATTTTTTTATGAAAAGCTTTTGGCAGCCACAGTTCGTCGCCACTAAAAAATAATTACATAAATTATTTTTTATGAAAATACTTTTGGCTTGTTGTCGCTAAAAGCTATTACATAAATTATTTTTTATAGAAATACTTTTAGCGGCGACAATTTGTTGCCACTACAAAGTAATCAGATAAATTACTTTTACTTTTTTAATTATTTTTTTATAAAAATACTTTTGGCGATGAAGGTTTGTCACTGTTAAAAGTAATTATAAAATTTTTTAAATTATTTTTTATGAAAATACTTTTGGCAGTGATAATTTGGCACAGCTAAAAATTAATTACATAAATTATTTTTTATGAAAATACAACCGTCACCGCTAAAAGTAATTTTTAGCGGCAAGAATTAAATATCATCGTTAAAAGGGAGCCTTTGATGGAAACAATTAAATGTCTCCTCTAAAAATTGACTTGTGGCGATTTTTAGCGGCGACACAATGTCGCTGCCAAAAGTCAACTTTTAGCGACGACTATTGTCGCCTCTAAAAGTAGACCTTTGATGGTGACTTTTTTGCTGCCGTTAAAAGTCACCATCAAAAGTCTTTTTTTTTGTAGTGTCTCTCATTTAAATAATTTTATATTATTTTATATTTAATAAATAAAATTTAATAACTATATATTTAAAAAATAATATTAATTAATTGAAAACTATTAGGTGACGTTTCATCAAGCAAAAAACGCCAACTAAGATTTATTAAATATTTATTTAATATCATATTTATTATAAAATATTTATTAAAAAATAAATTTTAGAATAAAAGAATTAACTATCAAAGAAAAATTAATTGAAACCACGTTCAAAATACCATATAAGATTAAGTGAATAAAATATTTATTAAATATTATACTTATAATAAAATAGTTACTGAAAAAATATTTTTAAAAAATAATTAACCAAAAAAATAAAATTCTTTGGTGGCGTTCCCTATTGTAAGAAACACACCAACAATTATTTTTAAAAAAATATCTATTAAACTATAAAATGATTATTGAAATAATATATATTTATATAAGTTAATTTGGTGGCATTTTCACTCAAGAAATGCCACCTAATATTAATTAAATAAAATATGAACTAAGTATCATATATATTACAAAATAATTATGAAAAGTAATAAATATTTAAATTAAATAAAGAAAAATTATTAGGTGGCATTTTCTCAAGAAGATCGCCACCTAAGATTAGTTAAATAAATTATATTTTAAATATTATATTTATTATGAAATAAATGTTGAAAAAATATATTTATAATTTTTATATTTTTAGTTTTAAATTATTGTGATATATTAATAATGATTATTAATGAACTACTTAATTTATATTATAATATGTTCTAAAATTAATAATAATTTTTAATAATTACTATAATAATTGTATTAATAAGTGTAGTAATAATTATAATTACCATAATAAATAAAATTATTTTTGCAATATTATCATACAAAATTGTTCAGTAATAACAAGGTGTGGCATTTCATAAAGGAAACAACACCTCTTATTATTTTAAAAAAATTATAAATAAAAAAATAATTAATAAGCAGTGTTGTTTTATTGCCGAATATATTTCAACTTTCATTTTAGTGGCATTTCATTTTTAATTGCTATAAAATGCATGCTACCAAATCTTATTTTTGTAGTAGTAACTATTCATGCGAGTTTGATTTTGAGAATGAAAACTATATTTTAGTAGTAATGATTTTCTTACATATTTAAAAATGGTTTTGGAGGAAACTTTATACAGAACACTGATTGCTAATGGTAGTTCCATTAGTCCTTATTGTGCTATGGTTAATGACTACCTAATTTGATTTTTGTAAACCTTGTTCTCGCGTTTGCTATTCATGGGTCTAACATTTACGTTTGTTTTTCATGGTTTCGAGCCGCATTTGGTTACTTATTCTTGTAGACTGTACATCCACATTTATTTCATAGTTCAGTCTGCATTTGGTTACCCTTGTGGACTATGTGTCCACGTTTGTTTTCATGACATAAGCCGTGTTCGGTTATTTACCCTTATAGATTGTATATCCACGTTTGTTAATTATTCTAATAAGTCCTCATAAACATGATTTTTATATTATTTTGTTATTACCTACTCCATTGATTTCATTAGTAAATGTGGCGATATTTATTTGTCTTCTTAAGATTAAATGACAAGGATATTTGATATTATAAATTTAAGGGTTGACATTTTATTTAATGCTATATAAAATTTCTTAATTTCAAAGTTTATGAAATGTTTTATGTGAAATTTTTGTCTCTCTAATTTTTATAATCATTGTTATTTATTCATTTTATCATTTTAAATTGATAAATATTGGAATATTATTCACTGAAAAATATTTTATTTAGCCTCAAATAACATAGTTGACATTATACCTCCTGCTGCTGACCTCTGACGAGCTCATTGTTGAATTTACTAGAAGATCAATTTTTGAGAATATCTTGCCTTTTATGTACATTCTAAAATTTATGTATTATGTTTTGAAAACACAATATAGGATGCTTCACATTGCCTATAGTTGGATGTATGTTTATGCATATATCTCATGCCAATCACATTATATTTTTAAGGCATGACATAAATAGTGCAGCACTCTAAGCTATTGGCCGAAATGGAAATCACCACATAATAAAATAAGATTTACAAAAACGTAGAAAACTGATGTAAAATCTAATCGGCAATATTAAACCTTGAAACTTAAATCTACCACAAACATATCATTGGGTAATGGAAAATGGGAGTTCAATACAGAGAAGACAATTAGACAATCAACTACTAAAAATTTCCACATGATCAGAACAAAACAAATGCATATCTTCAAGGTTAGCTTTACACTTAATCAAATTAACAATCAATGCACAGAAAAATAAAGTAGTTAAGCTGTCAAAAGATAATCAGCATATGACCGATAAAGGATCAAACATATTTCAGAAACAGCCAATCGGATATATATATAGATCTCGCCCAGCAGCTGAAACCTGTCTTCTACATTTAGATCTCCCAACCAGATGATGCAGCCACTGACCCCTTTGCTGATATCTGAGTTAGCATGAGTAATACAGGAACAATTTTCCAAGCATTTGCATTATTGTCATCTATGAAGAAAGCACATGGGTAATACCGATAAAAATAGGAGTATGTTGTTATAAACACATTTCTAGGGCAAAGCACAACTAAATCCTTAGAAATAAATCCAGTTTCATCAGTATGAATATGTGCTTTTCCATTGTGATAAACAATTTCATCATTTTCATCCTACAAGGAAATGAAAACATAACTCAGTTTTCTCATACACAGAAAAGGGGTAAAAAAAGTCCATATACAGGTGACAAAATAATTGATCATACTTGAAAAAAAAACATCTTTAATTGTTTGAACATCCACATATTCCATGCCAATATCAACTGTTAAGGTTGAGGACAAAATACTTGATGTCAGTAACTTGGATCAACTGTTTTTGGTGTAGAAGGGAAGAAGAACATAAGATATAAAACTAAAAATAGCATCTATGAAGCCATAAACTTGTCCCAGCTGGGTAATGTGTGAGCATGCATAAATAAAGATCGAACTTCAAGAATTGACTTGCCAAATATTGATAATTTTTAAGAATCCCACTCATCAATTGATGCACAAGATTATGTCCTAACAAAATAACATTTCATGGCTAATGATGTTGGGTCCTACTTTCTCTCTTCCTTTCCACCATCTTTAAAAACTGATCGATTGATAAGAAGTTTACGCTCATCAATGCAAGCATATTGGTTCCCATAGGTCCGTATAAAATCTCTAAATGCAACATCAGATACATATCAAATGTCAAAGATTCAAGAATGTTTCGTGCATAATAGCACAGACTAAGCATGAGCTGTTTAAAAGATTAACAAACAGATTCTAAAATCAAAATAAAATAACAACATAATAGTAGAACAAATTAAAACCTCTAGAGTTTTATAGCACCAGCAAAATCTTACCAACATACGATTTCAGAAATTTTAATTGCCAAAGAAGAGATGAGTTGCTCCTGAAAAGAATGTTATTATATTTTGATGTAAAAATAGGTATGACCAAAAGCTAGGCTAAGTCTCTGCTCTTTACCTTCGGCAAGAGTGATTAAGAAACTAAAATCACAAGTTCAAATGAAAGTTGTGCAAGTAAAAGAGACAGTTAATACTAACAGGAAAAAGTACAACATATAAAGCCTACCATTGGATAAAGAGGTGGTTCAAATTAAACTATGCAATGATTTTAACAGGTCCTACTTTCTTCATGCACCTTTTTTACCATGAACAAAAGACTCTCTTAATTGGCTAATACAAAATTATTGTGCATATAGCTAATAATTGAAAAATTGTCATAGCAACTTCCTGCAAGATTCTAGTGAAGCAGGAGCTTTAGTTGTAGAAGAAGACAATTGCAAAATTGTCATAGCAACTACTTGCAAGATATTTTTGTGTTCAAGTTTGAGATAACATGTGCCAAACATCAATTGAAGAAAGACAAAAATCAAGCCAAAATATACACAGACCCATAAATCAATGAGTAACTGGAGTATGTATCAAAATGTCCTGTGGAGAATCCACTGAGTCAGTCAAAGTTACTAATGAGGGGTAACAGAAGCGTTAACACAAAATTTGATGCTGCCTTATTTTGGTGATGTTCCAAGAGATTCCAAAACAGTTCATCAGTAAGCTTACGAATCCTCTAGTCTTCCTTTTAGGGTAAGCTGGTCCTAAATTCTCATTGAAGTAAAACTGTGTCTTTTGCATCTTATGGGGACTGAAAATAAATCATAAAATGTCTGCATTGCTAGTCATGAACTTGAAATTTTGTAGGGACTGCATATTTAAGGTTATACAGAAAAATAAAGCAAATGATTCAGGTAGTGATTAGTTCCTTAAAAAAAATTTACAGATAGATACATACTTGCAAAAATAGACAGCTGAAAAAATATATACCTGCAGACTACTCAAGTGACGGGCATCATCAGCATGAGTTATGATACATGAATCAAGAAGTGGAACAATGAAGTAGCACGAACAGTGAAGCGAAGATTGCCAGAGCAGGAGATAAGTTGACCCCTGTATCTCGGAAATAGGAACTTCAGGTATGTTCTTTATGAACTCATTGGAATTTTTTTTTTAATTCTTCTTCTTCTTCTTTGTGCATCGTCTTCCCAATCCATAGCCCATACTCAAAACCTTCGCTCCACCAACCCTTGATTACAGGAGACATGGGAGAAACTCAGCAAAAAAATGACAACAAATATTTCTAATTGGCAAGAAAACGTTGAAATACTTCTCTGCTTGAGGGAAAAGCTCTAACAAATCGTTACCTTGTTCTGAGTAGAATCTCGTCGTTTAAGGAGATGAAGCACCACAGATCTAGGGTTTTACTATCACAGCTTAAGCAATGTATCGACAAATCGATGCGCAAGAAATATATATTAGTAAGAAGAAGAGGAAAAAGCATGGAGTACCTTGAACAGCGAGAGACGACGGACTTTACAACTGGCGAGAGCTGAGGAATGAGACTGGGAGAATCGACATCTTCGGTTTGGAAAAGTGATTTGAAAGGCCATTAAAAATTGAATATATGAAAATATATTGGTTAGACTCGTTACTCCCATAATGGAAAATTGAGAAATATATAAAAATAAAAAAAAATGAATCTCATTCTCAAGTGAAAAAAATCTTTTAACAAAATTAACAATGACATGGAAGAATTAAAAATATATTAAGGTTGACTATACCAATAATATGATAGAGATTCTAACCAATCAATAATATTTTACAATATTTATTAATATATATTGATGATAGAGAATTTTAATAGGGAGGGGGCATGAAGGGATATGATGACAAGAGAGAGTCATTGGAAAGAGTTTTGAATTTACATAGCTTAAAATAAACAAAATTAAAATGAAGATTTTTTTTTTCCAAAAAAGAAAAGTGAGCCACCCTATTTATCCAATTCAAGTTAAGATGGAGGTTAAATAAGTGTTCTATCTCTAAAAAGGTCGGCTTTTAGCCAACCCAACTTGCCATTTTGACGAGTTAAATGGGTTTGGTTCATGAGTCCAATTCATATTATTAACTCTAGTATTAAGGTCTAAACTTACTTGGTAAAAGACTTAAAATGCGTTTGGTTTTTCATTAAGTAAAAGTTAGTTTATCAAATGTCCATTTGACAAAAGTTAATTTAATAAAAATTAATTGTTATAATAAAGTTTATGTTTAGATACATTATTTTAAAAGTTAGCTTGATAAATTGAAAGTTATTTGAATTAATGATAATTTGTAATTTTTGTTATAAAAATATAATATATTAAAAATGTTTAAAATAGATTAATATTAAAAATTAGATAAGTAGTTCAATATACATTAATACTAAAAATTAACAAGATTAATTGTTCAGTTCATAATGAATAATCTAATACATAATTTTTCAAAAAATATGTACAGAATGCACTTATATTTTCATTTTCTTAATTTTTTTTTCATACCCCCATCCCTATTCCTTTTTTGTTCAAAAGCATCCATCCATGTTAGTTTAAAAAATATGTACAGAATTCACTTATATTTTCATTTTCTTAATTTTTTCCATACCCCCATCCCTATTCGTTTTTTGTTCAAAAGCATCCATCCATGTTAGTCAAAAATTTGAACTCATCTTTGAATAGTATTTTGCAGTCAAGTATGATAAAGTATGAGTAGAAGTAGGAAATAATAGAAAACATAAAAAAGAGAGAAGAAAGACGCAGGAAACAAGGGTAACTTCGTTATATAAATATATAACATTCAACTTTTAGTTCCAAAAGCTCTAGATTTTTTTATTAGTCAGATCCACTTTTAGCCTCATTTAAATGTGTTTTTGCAAAATTCAATCTGGATAACAATTGATTTTCAAACAACATCGCACTTTTAAAAAGCGGGAAAGCACTTTCGCAATGTATAAAAAGTTGTAAAAGCAAACGGGCACTTAGTTGCACGGGAAATTTGATGGGGACAATAGAAGGAAACATGAGCTGTAATGCATGTGATTGCGGGTCCACATTGAATTCACAGACTAGAGCAAGGCATTTTACAATAAAAGGAGTCGTTTATTTTATTTTATTTTATTTTATTTTTATTTTTGAACCCTTCCCGATTGAAGTTGGACCATTTTCAAATTGGAGTTTTGTGTTCATCACGTGTGTCCAAAGAATTCTCACGTTACTCAAACTTGACAAAACCTTAGTGCATGTATATTAACATAATTTGAGTAAGTGAATGGACAAGTGAAGTGGGCTTGCATCACATTGTTTGGCCCTTTTACTGAAAATATTTTCAAGACTCCATAATTATCTATTTTTGAGTTTTGATTAGCTAATTTTTATCTCTTTATTAACTGCATTTGACTGATTTAAACCACCATTAATATTTTGAAACTGTCATCTTTAATTAGATTTTATGGCTGGCCAATGGTTTCTACTTATAGAAGCTTGTCCCATACTTCATGCTTGAGTACCCAAAGCTTCTGAGTGTTTGAGCCCTTCTCTTCCTCTCCTCGGTTCTTTTGTATTTTTGATTGTCCCATACTGCATGTTTTGAGTGCCCCAGTGGTTTCTACTTTCTACTTATAAAAGCTTGTCCCATACTACATTTTTGCTGGATGGGTTATTTAATCCAAGGAAGTTGCAACATTTCTTAATTATCTGGTGTTTCTCGAGCACCGCTCAAACTAGCTTTTGTACTAAATTAAATATTATAATTATTATTAATACTAATTTTAATTAATACTAAATTAATAATTGTGTCTGAATTTAGACATATTAAATATATATGAATTCAAACCCAATTATTATTTAAATATTTAAATTATTTTTAAAAATTAAATATTATAATTTTCATTTAAATTTTGATTGTGTCTAAATTCAAACATATTTATTAAATTAGTATTAATTAAAATTAGTATTATAATGGGGCTTTAGCAAATTTAACTAATATTATATGACTAAATAAAACTAATAACCCACCCTTTTCTAAATTAAGATAATGATCGTTTCCTAATTTAACTCTGATGCAAAAGATAAAACAATCCTTAAACATCACAATACCTCAATTTTCCTTTTCACACTGATTTCCCTTTTCACCGACTCGAAGACTTGGAGACAATAGTATGCTCTCAATCACGACGACAAAAAAACTGATAATAGACGACAGCATAGCTCACACCAATGGATAAACAAGGTTAGAGATTCAGTCAGGAGACTGTAACCTCTCTCAATATCCACTCGATATTAGGAGGAATTAACATAATCACCCTATCACATACCAAACTAAAACAATAAATAATTTAAAAAAGCTTGAGACTTAAGACTTCTTTTTCAAAATCATTGAAAATCAACCTTAGAATCAATCAAACTAGAGCAATGCACAGTGAAATATATATCTACATTCATCACCCCAAAAATTCATCTTAAAACAAGAGAAATAGGGCCAGAAAGTAAGTAGTGTGCCGCGGCATGCACCACATGCACCACGGCATGTGGCATAGATCTACAGGCTTCCATGCTACGCCATGCGTCACAGCATGTGACACCATATGTCGTGGCGCACATGACAGAATTTTACTGTCATATGACAATTCACTAAAGCAAACTTCCGGCATGTGCTGTTTATTCATATGATGTCCAATTGGAGTAATTCAAGCATCCACATGCAGCTTATTTCATAAGCTAGCTAATGAGAGAAGTTTGGATGCTATCTAATGATCTAATCTAAATTTAGATACTCGATGTGCAAAAAGTCACTTTTCTTAAAAATTTCATGCATCAAGGTTTTCAAATCGCATACTTAATCTCATTAGGCTATTTTAGGCCTAAAATCAAGTCCAAAAAGACTAATCATACTTGATTGACTTGCAATCACAACATATATACACGTATATCAAAAGTTGGCCATTCCATCGCCCATTTACACAATAAAGGGTTGTTTTTCACAAACTTTCATATAACCATTCGCTTAGCCAAACATTTACACAATCACTGCAAAATCATCATATCAATCATACTCACATTTATATACATCTCCACATAACACAAACCTAACCCCAGTATGCTTTTCACTACAATTGGGTTAAGATTTACTAATTTGCCACAAATTCACTACATACATAATCACAACTAACTCTTAGTCCCTTTATCACATTTTTCACTACATTTAATGCACATTCACAACTATAAGACTAAGAATACATAACCACCACTTTTCACAACAAAATATATGCATATATATCCTACGGCAACTTAAATTATTTTATAAATGTATTAAAAAACAAATTCATTACACAAACTCTTGTTTTCCTCAGCAATAGCACTATGATGCTAGCCCAACATCTTTCATTTTTTCCAACTCACTACTTCATCATGTAAAAATATAACCAAGGGGTGAGATAATAATTTTAGTAATATAATAACTCACTACTACAAATTATCACGTATAATTGTAAATAAGTAAAGTGTAATTATAAGGAAACAGTCATATGAATATATACATATATACATATATATTTCTTTCACAAAATTGTTTTTCACATCAAATCACCACTAGCATGATTGTTTACTATCCAAACTTTCATATCATCTTGGCTAAAATCATAGGCTTTATTAGGCCAATTGTATATTGACCTGAGCACACTTTTAGTAATAGAATCGTCCGGCCAAAGGTGTTCTATCCCACCTACAGACTATGATTTTTCCCTTTCACACACAATGATCAGAACGTCATTACTCCAACATCGCATCGCATAGATGCTAAGGAGTGCAAATCTCCAATACCACACCCCATATGGGTATTAAGGAGTTAATTTCCAACACTGCACCTCACTAGGTATTAAGGAGATAAAATCCTCTAACACTGCACCCCGTCAGGTACTAAGGAGAATATCTACCGTATGGACTTTTCTCTATTTCTTTCCCTACGGGTGAACTCCCACACTCTATCATGGTCATACTCAATACAAACCACTTGTATTTATTTTTGCATATATATAAATATATGGTCATATATTTTCACAACTCATTAATCATTTTCATGTAACAACATTCATTTCACAAATGTGCACGGTTTAAAACAACTTCATGCAATATCAACAATACTCACAAACAATTATACTAGATAAGCAAATAGAATAAGTCATTTAGTTACCTCAACCCTTTTATCATAGGAAAGGGTTACGCGTGGATTTCTTATATGCTTAATGCTTCCCTACACACATCCTTTCTCAATCTAAATGCATAACACACCAATTTACACACAATTGATACTATTAGTCAATTAATCAAATTGACCAAAATTACTAATTACCACATTTAGCTATTTCCTTCCTTTCACTTGATCAATTTAGGCTCATCACCTCCCAATCACTCCTTTTTATTACTTCAACCAATCCCAATTTACTTCTTTCACAACGTCACTCTTATTTCCTCTTAGTTTAGGGCTAATATAAGCTTACAGCTTTAAGACTTTATCGTTTAACTCCAAACTAGTCACAAAACCTTAGTTTGATTCCCGAGGATCTTTAC